ACAGAAAGTTCACATGTAACCTGGCCTCCATCCTGGCACTTTTGCATCAACTCTTTAAAAAGGGTCAGCCTCGGAAATGGTCACGTAGCCAAGCCATAACTTTCAGGAAGGTGAAGAAGCAGCTATCATCATCTAAGGCGTTAGCACACCATGATCCCAAGCAAGACCTGGTATTGACATGCAATAAGGCATCTCCATAAGGCATCAGATTGGTATTAGCTCATAGGTGGCCCAATGGAGAGGAACATCCAATAGCATATGCATCCAGGACTTTGGCTATTGCAGAGCGTAAATACACCCAGATAGAGAAGGAAGGTTTGGCGGTCATACTTGAAGTCAGGAAGTTCCACCAATACCTTTACAGACCTATAATTGTAATAATAGCAGATTACAAACCCCTGCAAGGTCTGCCTAAAGAGGACAAAGCAGTGCCACCCATAGCTTTAGGCCAAAGTCAGTGGTGAGCTCCAATACTAAGTATGCGTAATTACAAGTTGGAATACTGTCTGGGAGGCCAAGTAGCAAATGCAGATGCATTGAGCCACCTCAGTCTGGCAGATACACCACTGGTGGCACTGCCACCAGAAGACTCTGTAATGGTTTTAAATTTTCTGGACACACTTCCAGTCACAGCTGACAATATCAGACTTTGGACACAGAAAGATCTGGTCCTGGCAAAACTGAAATATCTGGTGGTGATGAGCGAAATCAAAGGGCCATCACAACCAGAAATTGAAACCTTTTTGGACCAAGAGAGATCAGATCACAGAACAGGGCAGCATATTATAATGGGGAGCAAGAGTGACTGTCCCAAGCAACGGTTGCCATCAGAGACTGGCTGAGCTCCACCAGAGTCATCCAGGGGTTTCCAAAATGAAGATGTTGGAAAGAAGTTATGTCTGTTGGCCAGCTTGGATACAATGCCCAGAGTGCCAACAAGGGCAGGGTGAAACAGCACCACGAACGCCAATGCTGGACACAAGACTCCACTAAGCGAAAGAGATTGTTTATTTCAGGAGTGAAGTTTGGTGCAGGAACCACAGGAATGGCCTTGCATGGGTATGAGGTTTGGTCAATGGGAGGTCAGGTGCAGTGACGTCTAAAGTTCAGATAGGTGCAAAAATCCTGAACAAGCACATGGACGACATGAAAGTTGCAACCTCACATATGGTGTGTGTGCAAAATGTGCCCAGCTCCTCGACTGCCTTTCCAACTGTTCTGGAACCCATGGGTTCTCACTCTCCATCAAGAGTTGAAGATACCTCAGAATCTGAGATGGACACGGCAGATGTCGCCACCTCAATGCCTTACTGCTTGAAGAAGAGAATGAATTTCTTCAGAGATGCTCCGGGTGCAAGAGGTGAGCTATCATACATTACATGCTGTCCGTATCAGAAGCAGAGTTGGATGAACCTGACCCAGTGCTAAAATGCCCCAGGAGATGCTACAAAGAACAAGCCTATGTCCTTACACTCAGAAGGGGAGGAATGTAGTGACTGTAATGAGGTCAGCCAGGAGGCTGACTCAGAATATGAGTTCCCTGATTGGGGCTGTTAATCTGGTCTGTTCAGGAAGCCCTGGCTGACAGATAAGAACAGGAGTGTCAGAGGTTCTGTTCACTCAGAGCAGGCTCTGAGGGAGCTGGGTCAGTGTCAAGGACTCTCCATGTGTAAATAAAGGGTGACTTGGCAATAGGATACCAGCCTCTGTGGAGTTATTTCAACATGCATTCACAAAAAATAACCTGAAAGCAACTACAGGGAAGAAGTTCTTTACTTAGAATGTGATAGACTTTTAGAATAATCTGCAAGGTAGAAAAGTTGCAATTTGTGTTCCAACAGGGCTTATCAGCTCTTGACCTCATTACAGCCTTGGTTCATGCATGGACAAAAGAGCTGAATTCCAGGGGTGAGGTGAGAGTGACAGCCCTTGACATCAAGGTAACATCGAATGTAGAATCAAGGACCCCTAGAAAAACTGGAGTCAATAGGTATTGTGGGGGGGAACTCTCTACTGGTTGGAGTCCTGTCTTACACAAAGGGAAATGGTTATGGTTGTTGGACGCCAATCATCTCACCTCCAGGACATTTCTGCAAGGGTTCCTCAAGCTAGTGTCCTATGCCAACCAAATTCAGCTGCTTCATTGATGAGATTGCCTCCGTTGTAAGGTCAGAAGTGGGGATGTTCACTGGATTCAGTGGCAATCAAGCATGCTGTTTTGTCCTGGATGAGGTCAAGCTTCTTGAATGTTGTTGGAACTGCACCCATCCAGGCAAGTGGGGAGTATTTCATCACACTTCTGACATGTGCCTTGTAGATAATGGAGAGGCTTTGAGGAGTCAGGCAGTGAGTTACTCGCTGCAATATCTGATCTGCTGTTGTAACCAGTGTTTATGTGGTGAGGCCAGTTGAGTTTCTGGTCAATGGTAAACCCAAGGATGTTGACAGTGAGGGATTCAGTGATGGTAACACTTTGAAGGTCAAGGGGTGATGTTTAGATTGACTCTTATTGGTAATGGGTCATAGCCTGTCATTTGTGTGGCATGAATGTTACTTGCCACTTGTCAACCTAAGTCTGAATTGTCCAGATCTTGTTGCATTTGAACATGGACTGCTTCAGTATCTGAGAAGTCACGAATGGTGCTGAACATTGTGCAATCATTGTGAAACAACCCCACTTCTGACCTTGGTGGCAGAAAGATCATTGATGAAGCACATGAAGATGGTTGGGCCTAGGACACTACCGTGAGGAACTCCTGCAGAGATGTCCTGAAGGTGAAATCTCTGACCTCCAACAACCATAACCATCTTCCTATGTGTCGGATATGACTCCTAGTGGAGAGTTGCCCCCGATACCCATAGATTCCAGTTTTGCTAGGGCTCCTTGATGCCACATTCAGTTGAATGCAGCCTTGCATGTCACTGTCACCTCACCTCTTGAATTCAGCTCTTTTGTCCATGTCTAAACCAAGGCTGTAATGAAGTCAGGAGTGGAGTGGCCTTGGCAGAACCCAAACTGACTGACACTGCGCAGGTCATTGCTGAGCAGGTACTGCTTGAAAGCACTGTTGATGACACCTTCCACCATTTTACAGTGATCAATAGTAGACTGATGGGGCAGTAATTGGCTGGGTTGGATTTGTCCTTTTTTTTATGTACAGGACATACCTGGACAATTTTCCACACTGTGGGGTAAATGCCAGTGATGTAACTGTACTGGAAGAGGCTTGGCCAGGGGAATAGCAAATTCTAGACCACAAATCTTCAGCATTATTGCCATAATGTTGTCAGGGCCCTTAGCCTTTACAGTATGTGTATGCAACGATTTCTTGATATCACATGGAGTGAATCAAATTGTCTGAAGACTGGTACCTGTGATGCTGGGGACCACAGGAGGACACACTGGATGTGGCAGGATTAGATCTGATCTATTGGTTATGCCTTGTCAGCATATCCACATCAGTGAAGGAACAAATATTTTAAATTCTTCAAATCAATGCTTTTTAGGCATTAATTTCTTCTCATTTCCATTTACACGCAGTCCTCAACAGAAAGAGATGATGTGGAGTCATATTCCATTACATTCTGCTCACTTAATTAGGATTCTGGGTAATCCAAGATGGAGGATGGGAAAATGTTGTGGCTGTCAGAGCTGCTCCTTTGAGGTATTTTCAGTGTTGGATCTGATTTCCTTGAATTCTAGGAGCAGTATTTCCTGATTTATAAGCTGGTGCATTGTTTTGGAACTTTTGATCTTTTTTTCCCCCAAACAGTGGCACTTTAAGAAGGAGGAAGAGAGACAAAGCAGTGATCATATGGGAGGTGAAACAAACAGAAGTAAACCTGCACAGCTGTCTGACCGAGCAGTGAACTACACAGTTGACTGCCTCTGCTGTTTGGTTTCAAGTATAAGTGCCAAGGTCTTTTCCCCAGGGTGGGAGAGTCCAAAACTAGAGGGCATAGGTTTGAGGTGAGAGGGGAAAGATTTAAAAGATACCTAAGGGGCAAGTTTTTTCACACAGAGAGTGGTGCGTGTACGGAATGAGCTGCCAGAGGAAATGCTGGAGCCTGGTAGAGTTACAATATTTAAAAGGCATCTGGATGGGTAAATGAATAGGAAAGATTTAGAGGTATATGGGCCAAATGCTGGCAAATGGGACTAGATTTATTTAGGATATCTGAGCGGGTCTGTTTCCATGCTGTACATCTCTTTGACTCCATAACTTGAAAACCAACAAGCCAACAGTTCTTGCAACTGAAAGGGAGAAGTTGAAAATACAAGTTGTGCAGCAGATACAAGAGAAAGCCAGATTTCTGTGTCACTCTTAAGCAACACACACACGCACCTCCCCCACTCCTCCCTACCCCTGCCCCAACCTGTGCTTTAAGCTGCTCCGATGCTTGCGTCATGAATTCAGTGCGAAGCTCTTTGGCGACCTCCATCTCATCAATAATCTCTAATATCCGCTTTCTCAGGGAGTCACATTCATCTTCTGTGAGAAATCCATCGATTTTAACAAAGCCATCTTTCCTGAACTGAAGATGAGGGAAAAAAACAGCAAACGTGTAACAGACAAATTGGATCAGAACTTGATCTTATTAACCTCTTTACAAATGGCCAGCTTAACTTAACAATACCTTTGCATTTTTGAGTTAGATAGCTACAGGTACAAACCTGATTAGATTACAAATCAGAAGTGTTCAGCACATTATCTTGCCTATAGATCAATGCATTACTGAGGCAATGCTACACAATCAGAGACACATACAAAGCAGGCCAATCAGCTCCTTGAACCTACTCTGCCATTTAATAAGATCATTGCTGATCTGTTTGTGTTTTGAATTCCACATTCACATCTATGCCCAATAACCTCTAATTCCTTGGCCTAACAAGAATCTTTCTATTTCTATTTTAAAAGTATTTAATGATATCACCTCCACTACTTTCTGAGGTAGAATTCCAAAGTCACTGAACCATCTGAGAAAGTATTATCCTCATCTCTGTCCTAAAAGGGTGACCCCTAATTTTAAAACAGTGCCCTCTTGTTCTGGATACACACACAACAGGAAACATCCTTTCCACATCTACCTTGTCAAAACCATTAAGGATCATATACAGTCACCCCTCACTCTTCTAAATATCAAAGGAAACAAGTCTAGTCTGCCCAAAATACCCTTATAAGACAACCACTCATTCCAGGTATTAATCTGGTAAACTTCCTCTGAACTGCCTCCAACATGTATACATTCTTCCTTAAATGTACACTGTTTTTGAGATATGACTTCATTTGTGCCCTACATAACTGAAACAAAATTGTTACTTGTATGTTCAATTCCTCCCATAATAATGGATAGCATTCCATTAGCCTTGCTAATTAGCTTCTGTCCCTACATACAAATGTTTTGAAAAATCATGCTCTAGAACACCTAAATCCCTCTCCCACTCAGAATTCTGCAGTCATTCTATATTTAAATAATTTCTGCTTTTTTTATTCTTCCTGCCAACTTCATATTTTGTAATATTATACTCCAGGAAGGGTGTTATTAAATTAGAGAGATTTCAGAGGAGATTTACCAGGATGTTGCCAGGAATGGACGTTTGAGTACAAAAATAAGCTGGAACTTTTCTCACTAAAGCACAGGAGATTGAGGGGTGACCTTATAGAGGTTTATAAAATCATGAGGGGTATAGATAAGGCAAATGGCAATGATCTTTTCACCAGGGTGAGGAGTTCAAAACTAAGGGGACATATTTTTAAGAATGAAGCACAATACAGCACTTGAACAGGCCCTTTGGCTTCCAAGCTTGCACCAACACATTTTGCCCTTCCATATTAAAAATGTCTTTACTTACAGGATCCATATCCATCTATTCCCTTCCTATTCTTGTATTTGTCAAGCTGCTTCTTGAATGCTGCCACCACCTCCTCTGACAATGCATTCCAGGCACTCACCACCCTTTGTGAGAAAAATTTGCTTTGCACATCTCTTTTGAACTTATCCTCTTGCACCTTGAACTTGCGTTCCCTAGTAATTGACTGCTCCACTCTGGGAAAAAGCCTCATACTTTCCACTCTATCCATGCCATTCACAATCTTATAAACTTCTATCAGGCCAGCCCTTAACCTCCTGCGTTCCAGTGAAAACAAACCCAGTCTATCCAAGGAACGGGAAAGCTGAAATTTCAGCTCAGGACCCTTCTTCAGCTTTCCTGTTCTTCTGATGCTGCCTGGCCTGCTGTGTTCCTCCCGCTCCACACTGTTATCTCTGACTCCAGCATCTGCAGTTCTTGCTATCCCCGTCTATTCAGCCTTACGTCATAGCTAAAACCCCCATATCAGGCAATATCATGGTAAACCTTTTCTGTACCCTCTCCAAAGCATCTACATCCTTCTGGTAGTGTGGTGACCAGAACTGTATGCAATATTCCAAGTGTGGCCTAACTAAAGTCCTATAAAGCTGCAGCATAACTTGTCTATCCTTATACATAATACCCTTTCCAATGAAGGCAAGAAAGCCATGGGCCTTTTTTACTACCTTTTCTACCTGTGCTGCCACCTTCAATGATCTGTGGACCTGTACACCCAGATCCCTCTGCATATCAATACTCCTAAGGCTTCTGCCATTCACTGTATAATTTCCACCTGCACTTGACCTTCTAAACTGCATCACCTCACATTTGTCCAGATTAAATTCCATCTGCCATTTTTCTGCCCATGCCTCCAACTGATCTATATCCTTCTGTATCCTCTGACAATCTTTCTCACTATCCACAACTCCACCAATCATTCACAAATTTACTAATTAGACCAGCTATGTTTTCCTCCAAATCATGAAAACAGAGGTCCCAGCACTGATCTCTGTGGAACACACTAGTCACAGCCCTCCATTCTGAAAAGCATCCTTCCATCGCTACCCTTTATCTCCTATGACTGACCTGGCTCTGTATCCAACTTGCCAGTTCACACCGATACCATGTGACTTCACCTTTTGTACCAGTCTGTCATGAGGGACCTTGTCAAAGGCTTTACTGAAGTTCATGTAGACAACATCAACTGCTCTTTCCTCATCAATCATCTTCATCACCTCCTCAAGAAAAACTCAATCAAGTTAGTGAGGCACGACCTCACCTGCACAAAACCATGCCGTTTATCACTAAGCAGTCCATTTACTTCCAAATTCTTATAGATCTTGTCCCTGATATTTTTTTTCCAATAATCTCCCTACCACCAACATGAGGTTCACAGGCCTGCATTTTCCTGGATTATCCCTGTTACCTTTTTTAAACAGTGGGACAACATTGGCTATTCTCCAGTCTGCTGGGACCTCACATATGGCCAAGGAGGATGTAAAGATGTCTGTCAGTGCTCCAGCAATTTGTTCTCTTGCCTCCCTCAATATTCTGGGATAGATCCCGTCAGGATCTGGGGACTTATCTATCTTAATACTTTTTAAGATGCTCAACACCCCTTCCTTTTTAATAGCAACTTGGCTTAGAAATTCTACACTGAGAGGAAAAAGTTTTAAAAAGCACAAGGGCCAAATTTTGTACACAGAGTGGTTTGTATTTCAAAATAACTGCCAGAGGAAGTAGTGGATGCAGGTACAGTTACAACATTTAAAAGACATTTGGATAGGTACATGAATAGGAAAGGTTCACAGGGATGCAGGCCAAACACAGGCAAGTGGAGACTAGTTTAGTTTGAGAATATGGTTGGCATGGACTAGTTGGATCAAAAGGCCTGTTTCCATGCTATATGACTCTATGACAGTGTTTGCAGGTTTCAGTGGAACCAGTGGCAGGGAACTACAATTTGCAACAGCACTTTCATGGGTTGGGGCAGGGGGACGGATTTAACTACATTTTCTGCTCTAACTTCTTATTCAATAATCTCTTGCAGATGGGAAATGAACACAGAAGGAACAGTGATAAAGTTCCATATGAGGATGGTGTGTGGTTTTGGAGGGAAACGTGCAAGGCAGATGCAAGTTTCCATGCATCTGCTGCTCTTGCCCTTTTGGATGGTCGAGGCTATTGCCGTGGAAGGCGCAGTCAGATAAAGCTTTGTGAGTGATATAAATCAAGGCACTGCGGGTGCTGGAGATCTGAAACAAAAACAGAAAGTGCTAGAAAAACTCAGCAGACCTGGCAGTATCTGTGTACAGAAAGAAGAGTTAACATTAAGAAGCCACGAACCATTCATCAGAACTGAAAGCAGCTGGAAAAAGGTGGTATTTATGCTTTTGATGGGAGGGGAGAGTGTGAAGGAATGAGATAGATAGTTGGACATGACACCCATAGAGAGAGAGAAAGAAGGGACACGGAGAAGGGGATTGCTGACAGTAAGTCGGAGAGAAGTTAATGCTGAATCGATATTAACGAGGACTATGAATAGTTGAAAATGGGTTGGCTGTGCTGGGAGCAGCCCTTAAAGAACAGGTCCTGGGGGTGGTTAATAAACATTGAGGATGATGTTTACGTCCTGAAATTATTAAACTCAATGTTGAGTCCTGAGGCCTATAAGGACCCTAGGTGAAAGATGAGGGTGTTGTTCCTCCAGCTCGCATTGAACTTCACTGGAGCACTACAGTAGGCCTGAGATAGGGTTGGCATGGGAACATGGTAGTGTGTTGAAATGGTAGTCAACTGGAAGCTCAGGGTCATTTTTACAGAGGTCATTTTGCGGCGGTGTCCAGCAAAGCAGTTACCCAGTCAGCATTTCATCTTTCCAATGTAGAGAGGATCACATTGTGAGCAACAAATACAGTAGACTTGATTGAATGAAGTGCAGGTAAATTGCTGCTTCACTGGGAAGGAGTGCTTGGGCCTTGGATAGTCAGGAATCAAGAGATAAACAGGTAAATGCTGCATCTTCTGCAATTGCATGGGGAAGTGTTGTCGAGGCACGGGTGGTTTTGGGTATAGAGGAGGAATGAACCAGGTTATCCCAGAGGCAACGGTCCCTGTGAGATGCTGACAAGGGGAGGGGAGGGGGCTATTTATCTGATGGTGGCACACCCCTGGAGGTAGTGGAAATTGCAGCTATTGTTCTTTTGTATGTAGAGGCTGGTGAAGTGCAAAGTGAGAAGAAGGGAACTCCATCTGTGCTGTGTGAGGGAGGGGAAGGGGTGAGGGTAGAAGTGCAGGAAATGAGTCGGATATGGCTGAGGGGACTGTCAACCACAGCAATGGGGAATCCTCAGTTGAAGAAAATGATGAACATTTTGGAGCCGCCCACCCGCCCCCCACCATGGAAGGGCATTATCAGAACAGATGTGACAGAGATGAAGAAACTGGGAGAATGGAATGGAATCCTTACAGCAAGCAGATTGTGTGGACATATAGTCTAGGTGAATTTGGTGGGTTTGTAGCAAATATCACTGTCCAGCCCAACCCTGCAAATGGAAACAGATGTCAAGGAAGGGAAGGGAGGAGTCGGAAATGAACCAGGTGAAGGCGAGGAAAGGATGGAAATTGAAAGTAAAGTTGATCATTTTTTTCCAATTCTGGATGAGAGAGGGAAGCAGCAAAATCATGTCATCTTGTAACAGAAAAAGAGTTGTGGGGAGGTATGGGGGATTAAAGTAAGACTGGAACAAGGAATGCTCCACATATCCCATAAGGAGGCAAGCATAAGCCTTTGTGATATGTAGACAGTACACACTACTGCTACTGTGCATCAGTAATACAGAGTATGAATGCTGAATGTGGTGGATGGAGGTCCAATCAAAACTGGCTGGTTTGGCTTGAAAGGTGTTGAGCTTCTGAGTGTTGTTGGAATTGCACTGATTCAGGGAAGTGCAGAGCATAGCATCACAATCCTGACTTGTCCCTAGTACATGGTGGACAGGTTTTGTGGAGTTAGCAGGTGAGTTATTTGCTACAGAATTCCCAGCTTCTAACCTGTACGTCTAAGTGTAGTAATTATTTGGCTGGACCAGGTCAATGGTAACCGCAGGATGTTGGTAGTGGGGGAATTCATTAATGGTAATGTTTTTGAATGTCAACAAGATGTGTTTAGATTATTTCTTGTTGGAGATGGTTATTGCCTGAGCCTTGTGTGGTGCAAAACTTACTTGCCAATTATCCACGCAAACCTGAATGTTGTTCAACGCTTGCACTTATGGACACGGACTGCTTCAGTACCTGAGGAGTTGCAAATAGTGCTGAACATTGTGCAATTATCAGAGAACATCCTATTTCTGATCTTATAATGGAGGAAAAGACACTAATGAAGCAGCTGAAGATGGCTGCACCCAGGACATTAGCCTGAGGAATACCTGCATCATTGTCCCAGAACTGAGATGATTGATATTGAACAATTACTAACATCTTACTTTGTGCTAGGTATGACACCCCTCCATTGGAGAATTTTCCCTCTGATTTCCATTTCCTCCAATTTTGCTAGGGCTCCTTGACACCACACCTGGTCAAATGCTGCCTTAATGTTTAGGGTGGTAACTCTCAAGTCACCAAATGAGTTCAGCTCATTTGGAGATAGCAAGAACTGCAGATGCTGGAGCCAGTGTCGATAAGTGTGGAGCTGGAGGAACACAGCAGGTCAGGCAGCATCAGATGAGCAGGAGAATCAACGTTTCAAGCCCAAAATGTCCACTCTCCTGCACCTCTGCTGCCTGGCCTGCTGTGTCCCTCCAGCTCCTCACAGTATCGAGTTCAGCTCTTTTGTCCATTTTTGGATCAAGGCTGTAATAAGGTCAGGAGTGGAGTGGCTGTGGTGGAAATCAAACTGAACATCTGATGTTAAAATGAAACAAAGAACTGCGGATGCCTGCGACCTGAAACTAAAACAGAAACTGCTGGCAACAATCAGCAGGTCTGGCAACATCTGTGGGAGGAAACCAGAGTCTGGTGACTCTTCATCAACTTTTTTACCAACAATTTCTGTGGGAGGAAACCAGGGTATGGTGACTCTTCATCAACATTTTTTTACCAACAATTTCTGTGGGAGGAAACCAGGGTTTGGTGACTCTTCATCAACTTTTTTGCCAGCAATTTCTGTTTTTATTTGTGAACATCTGCAGGCCGGTTATTGCCAGTAAATGTCACTTGGTGGTACTTTGGACAACACCAGTAATTGGCCAGGTTGAATTTGTCCTGTTTTAATTGGACAGGACATACCTGAGCAACTTTTTACATTGCTGGCTAGATGTAACTGTCCTGGGATAGTTTAGTTAGTGGTACAGCTTGCTCCTGAACACAATTTCTTTACAACTATTGCCAGAACTTTGTTAGTGTTCATTGCCATTGCAATATCCAACACCTTCAGCTCTTTATCAGTGGAGTGAATCGAACTGAGTGAAAACCAGAGTCTGTGATACTGGCAACCTCAGGTGGATGAAAAGATAGATCCACTCAGCACTTCTGGTTCAAAGTGGTTGTAAACTACAATTGAGATTATGATTTGCGATGTAGTCCCGTATAAAATAGGAACTACATTCTGTGTAACATGCTTTCAATATATATCTATGTCGTTTGAATCTGGAATAATGTAAAATTAATCTTAAATGTAATTTAAGACCAGTAAAATGTGGATTCAATAGTGATATATTTCAATCTGGTATAACGTGATGTTAACATAAAAGCAAACAAAAATAAGTCTTAAACTATTCGAAACAGAGATTGCTGGAAAAGCTGTGTGGAGCTAGAGGAACACAGCAGGCCAGACAGCATTTATGAAGAAAAAGGGTCCCGAACCGAAACGTCAACTTTCCTGCTTCTCTGATGCTGCCTGACCTGCTGTGTGCCTCCTGCTCCACACTGTTATCTCTGACTGCAGCATCGGCAGTTCTTACTATCGCTTGCTGGAAAAGCTGGGCGGGTCTGCTAGCATATACGGAGAGAAAGAGTTAATGGCTCGGGTTTGGTGACCCTTCCTCAGAACATGAAAATATTCCGTCTGACAGCATCAGATCACTTTTTGGAAAGATGACCACTTCCCAAATTCGCCCTGAAACATGTTTGAAATCTGTCACATTACTGTCAGTGGATTTCTCCGCTTCGCGATGTATCCCACAAATCGCGGTATTGAAACAGACTCGACACAATTTCTAGTAACAAAGTAAAAAGAAAGCGTGAAGGTAACACAGTTTCCCCAGGGGCTTTCTAAAATTGGCGAATTCGTTTTGACGGGGTGAATGTCACTCACCGCGGCGCTGACATCGACGCTGGCCATGTTTACTTCAAATTGTTTCGCTTCATAGAGCCGAGCAACCAAACTGAGAAAGGAAATGGCGAAAAGGGATGAACAGCCTCGCCTACCACAAGGAGTCCACGCATCACTCACTCAAACTTGCTGCCACATCACGTCTTTTTGTTCCAAAAACATCTTTGTATACATACATAGTCTCTGAAGCAGTTCTATTCTGCACAGCAGCATATGAAGGAACAAACACTGGAGTTTGATTCTATCCAACAAACAAATCACAGGCATTACTTACTTGTACAAGGTTATATTTACATATATTTAAGGCGTCGGGAGAGTTCGATAACTGAATGGATCCCCATTTAACTTCAGCAGAAAGACCTTAGACGGTGGTTTTTCCCCACTGAGCCTTGGCGGCAGCTGCCCCAAGCTTTAGTGCGTTCCTCAGTACATCGCCCTGGACCTTCGGAATGAGCCACTCTGCAGCGCTCAGTCGAAGTCACGCTGAGCGAGAGGATTAACCTGCGGTTAGCTTCAACTAATGTCCTTCAAAGGGATTGTATGTTTGTGTAAAGATAAACACTTCATAGCTGTAACGATTCGATCCCACAACAAATATTTAAACTGGGATTATGGCTACCATATGACCCAAAGCAAAGGTTACACATTTAACTGAGAGAGAATAAAATCCAAGCTGATTAGTCATTAATCGAGTTCAATCCTTTGCAAAAACCAGGCAAGAAACCTTTGAAAGATTAATTTGTCTTCCTTCTACACCTCCAGCTTCTAACAGAATGACCATATATTTGTTGCTGCCTGAAGGGAGCATGTGAATATGAACAGTGAACAGGCTGCTGCCTAAAATAGAACCTGACAGCCGTGATCTTGGAGCATTACGGCACTGGGAAACCCACCAAGCAAAAGGCCCAGGCACAGAGGAACTCTGTCCAGACCACAATTTAAATATAGTCTACAAAAAGAACAGAAGTAGGCCACTTCACGCCTTTGGGCTTGCTTTTCGTCTCATTTCTTTCAATACCTTTGGTAAACAATCATTTATCAATTTCAGAGTTAAAATTAATAACTGACATCAAGTGCCATTTGTAGAACTCCTTTCACCCTTTGCCTATAGGTAGAATCATCTCCTCACTCCACTTCTGAAGATCTGGCTCTTTTTATGGGTGTTCGAAAAGGCCCCACCTCCAACAAAGGAAATGGTCTCTCCCTGTCTAATATACAGTTTTCCTCAATATCTTGAAAAGCAATCAACTGGCACATTAACCTTTTTCCAAGGAATACAACCCTTGTTTGTGTAATATTTCTCTGTAAATTAGCCACTGGTGTTCAGGTATCATTCTGGTAAGTCTACATTATATTCCCTCCATAGGCAACATCCTTTCTAAGGTGTGGTTCTCAAACTAAACCTAATACTCCACTAGGGCATTGTATATTCAGAGATGTTATCACAACACCTCTGGAGCAGAGATAACAAGGTGTAGAGCTGGATGAACACAGCAGGCCAAGCAGCATCAGAAGAGCAGGAAGGCTGACGTTTCGGGCCTAGACACTTCTTTAGGATTTGAACCTGGGCCTCCTGGTTCAAAAGTAGGAACACTACCACTGTACTACAAGAGCCTTCTTTTTGTAATTTTATACTTCCCTCTAGACCACTTACAGCACAGCCTATCTTTGTGCCAAAAGCAAACTTGGAAATCTGGCGCTCCATCTCTTCATCAAAATCTTGAATACATAGTATGAAAAGTCAACATCATCAACCTTTTGTAGGACGTCACCAATCACAGCCTGCCAATTAAGAGTACCTGCCCTTTATCCCCATTCTCTGCATCTTGCCAATTTCCTAAGCAAGCCAATGTTTTGTTGTCAATACCATGAGCTTTAGCTTCTAACCAACAGTCTCTTCTAAGGGGTAATAAAGATAGAAAATTCCGGAAAATGCCCAACATGTCTGCCAGCATCTGTGGAGGAAGAAATAGAATTAGTATTTTAGATATTCTAATATTTTAACATTCCTGTTTTAATATTTCAGGCATTCTATTCAATCTTTCATTAGAACAGAAAATCAAATGCACCCTAGAAGTCCATACAGTAACATCCATGAATTTAATCACCTATTAAAAAATGTCAATCAAGTTTTTCAGGGATAACCTATCTGTTTGCACAGACTCCTGCGGCCCCCACTGGCTATATGCTGTCAATCTGAAAAAGACACATTTATGTATATTAGAGATAGCAAGAACTGCAGGTGCTGGAGTCAGAGATAAAACAGTGTGGAGCTGGAGGAACACAGCAGGTCAGGCAGCATCAGAGGAGCAGGAAAGTTGACGTTTCGGGTCAGGATCTGAAGAAAAGTCCTGACTCGAAACATCTACTTTCCTGTTCCTCTGATGCTGCCTGTGCTGTGTTCCTCCAACTCTACACTGTGTTACCACATTTATGTATATTCTCTGTTTTCTAGTAGCCAGTCAATCTTCTCTACATATTGTTATGTTATCTCTTACACCATGAGCTCCGAGTTTACAAAATAACTTTGTATGTGATGCCTTGTCAAAGGCCTTCTGGGAATCCAATGACAGTACATGAAAAGCTGCCTTTTACCTGCAGTACATGTTACTTAATCAAAGAATTACAATAAATTAGTAAAACACCATTTCCAAATCACAAAACAATGCTGCCTCTTTTGAATTATCTTGAGATTTTTTTCCAAGTGCCCAGTTATAACTTCCTTAATCATTGATTCTAAAACAATCTCCATGTCTACCACTTACTTTACTTACTCTTTTCCTATTTAGATACCTATACCTTATACGTTTCAGGACACATAGTTTTCTCCAACAACCTTCAAAACATTCAAGAAATTGGCTATCTTTCTGCTTATTCCAATCTCTATAAAAATTAAAATCTGCCGTTGAAATTATTCTGCTTTGTTACATATTCATCTAATCTCTGCATTTATGCATTCTACCACATCACTGCTATGGCCAGAGGGCCTACAAACAATTCCCACTGCAATATTCAATCCTTTTCTGTTTATCAATCCTATACCATAAAGTTTTTTGTTATCTGCTGTCCTCTGATTATAGTCTCTTTTATTAAACTAATGTCATTGTTAATCACTAAAGCTACACCTCTCCCAGCTCACTCCTATAGACCTTCAATTCATATTCAAAACATAGGAGTAAAGCAATACATTTATTTTTCTAATTTATTCCTATGACCTGTAATGCTGGACAATTTATTTCTTTACTTTTCTAATTTTTTTTTTGTTTCCTAAGGATTTGATCTTAAGTATCTGTACCTAGGTAAATTTGTACCTGAGATGGCAATGTAATAAGGTGACTGTAAATTTTTTCACTGTAATCATTTGAGTATGTGACAATAAAGGTAATTCAATTCAATTCATAATTTAGGGAGCTAAAGATAAAATAAACCCTGAGAAAATCCTGGGAAACGTGGAAAATATTTTTAGTTCAAATAACTCTAACAGTAAATTGTGCAATTTATTGTACACTTGCCGTGACACAGTGAGGACAACAATCCCCCTAACATTTTAAACTCAGTCAAAATTTGGTTTTAGAGGAACTTCTTGAAACATGAAATCACTCATACATCACTTGTTACAGTTTGAATAAATTGTGACCCATTGCATTTCCTTCTCTGTGATGATTAGTATTCCTTATATAAAAAAAGAACACATTCTATGTTAATATAGGTGCAGTCAGTCAGTGTGAATCAACAAAAACCTAAAAATTTAATACACTTACAACAATTTTCCACTTAGTGCCTGGTTTTAAACTAGTTGGTGTCAGATTACCAAATAGGAGCTAGCGCAGATCAGCAAACTATGAGACTTGATTGATGGTTTATGTTGACCTCAATATGGCAGTATGTTGTACAATTGACCACAGTTCCACTGTGATGGGAAATCGAAAACTCAAACATACATTTTCCATTGATCATGTTGGAAAAATGCATTTGAAGATAAAGAGTGGAAACAGAATGGTGGTTGCTGTGTTCATAGATGATTTCTTTTCTATCACAAGGTCAGAATGTCTGTTTCCTGACAATTAATTCAGCTCCATTTACTACTCCTGTAATAATTAGCTAACCCATACCAATCAACAACAGAAGTTGGATAGTAGTCAGGCTAACGTTTGACAAATGGTACATAATGTTGATGCCACTTAGGAACCAATGTCAGTCTAACCAACAAAAAGATAATCTTTAACATGTAACAATACTAGGCTGAATGAGAGGTATATGTTTTATTCAAAATCTTGCTGTGATACAAAAGCTAGATTTAGTTCAAAGTGGTTGATTGCTTTTTCTATATCCAGAATCTTTACTCATGAGATAACAACTTCTTTGCAACTAACCTACCAACATGTGGTGCTTCTCGTTCTAACTACCACCCATTTTTTCTCTTACTTCTAAAGGAAGTGACTCGATAATATGTGGCTCTATCACAAGTCCATTTAACTTCAACATTGGGCATTGTCCTATTTCCACTGGAAGTTTTTCCAAGTAGTTTCCTTGAAGTTCCAGCTGAGATAGTTGGCTGAGCTTTGAGATCTTCCCACTTATATTCGAGATTAAGTTGTTGCTCAGTTTCAGAGTCATGAGCTTGTTACATTTGAAAAGTTGGTCTGGTAAAGTTTCTATTTTATTGTATCCCAAATCCAAATTATACAGGTTTTTGAGATTCCCAACATCATTTGGAAGCATAGAAATATTATTGTTGTGTAAATCCAAGTAACGCAGTTTATCAATTGTGAAAAGGACTTTTGGTAAAACCTCAATGTGGTTGTTATTTAAGTAAAGATACTCAAGCTTCTTAATTAAACTAATAGTTGTGGGAATAGTCTTGATCATATTGAACCAGAATTTCAAACAGGATAACTTTTGCAAATATTGTAAATTGGAAACATCATCAATTTTGGTAAGGTTGTTACCTTTAAGATCTAAGACTTGAAGATTGGATAAAGCATAAGTGGCAGTTGGGATTTTATCCAATTCACAATTGTGAAGTTCAATTTGGTTCAGATTGATCATTTTCTTTAAGATACTCAGACTTGAGAGCTTGGTCTTATCATTGTGAATGCAAAGCTTCAGCAGGTGTAATGCAACATCGATGATGGCAGAGGGTATTTTAGAGAGACTTGATTTTAGGTAAAGGACTCTCAGAGAGCGAAGCCCCTTCATTGGTTCCAGTTCCACAGCTTTTTTTTCAATGGCTAGCTTTCCAGTGAGATACAGCTCCTTGAGGTCAATCAGTTTGTAGATCCAATCAGGGATTTCATCACGACTCACATATTTAACTCCCACCTTCTTCAGTTGATATTTCAACCACATCAAAGCAGATGGTGTAACTTCAGTCACACAATGTGAGAGCCAGATTTCTTCCAAATGCTCCAGCTGGGTTATTTTATTGGATATTTTAACATTACTGCAAAGTTCCAACCTTAACACCTGTAATTCCGTAACTTCATAGACAGATTCAGGAATTCCTGATAACATGAAGAGATACAACTCATACTGGTCCTTCTTAGTTTTTGTGACATTTTCCTTCACTTTCTCCACAGTCCAATCATTATTTAAACTTAACAATTTTAATTTTTGCTCACTCACTTCTGAGAGGAATACTGTGAGACGTTTGCAGTATAGTGTGTCGTATTGATCAATCAAATGCAACAAGAAAGCAAAGTCATTTGTTACATCAGGAATATCACTGAACTGGCTTTCAACTTTTTTCTCAAAGGAGTACTTTCTCAGAGGATTTCTGAAAACCCAACATATTGTGTGGATGCAAAGAATCCAGTAAATAATCACTAAACCTAGATACAGCAGGGCCATTTTACTAACAAAACGGGCAGTACTATAGGTACAATCAAAAGCCTTATAATAAACCAACTTTAGTGCATTAGGTTCGCATAAGTTATTAAAGTCAACGACATAGATATAGGCTGGAAAGTATCCAATGATAATTAAACAATGTATTGTTTTGAACAATGTTTGTCCAGCATATAATTTATAAATTGTGTCTTTCTCTTCAACATGGAGTCTAAATTTCCTTACTTTCTCAAACAAAGCTTTGGCTTGCTCTGCATCCTTTTTGTCCAGGCTTGAGCCAGATACTGAAACATTTGAGTGAATATGTGTGGGAATTTTAGCAAGAGATGAATCTCCTTTAACACTGATTTCATCATTGTCATTTTCACTCGATTTTCGTGATATTACAGTTTCTTCCTGTTCTCTAGAATCTACACAGACTGCTGTGGATAGTGCTTTGGTTGTCCAGGGTGACTGAAAACACTTTTGAAGAATGTCAAGAAATTGTTGCAATTTGGAACTTGTTTTAGGATATGTGAAGCAGAAGTTACTGCAGATAATTAAGACAACTGTATGGAATAAAATCAGATAAGAGAAGAACCTAGTAAACCAGGGGATTTGACTATAGCACATTTGATTGACATACCAGTACTGCCAAATATACAATTTTGTAACCCTTCCATGGTGGACAGAAATAGATGGATTAGATTTCGTATGCACAACTGGATTGGCACTATTATCAGATGTTTTTGGAGTATCTTGCAAGGTTGAAATTATCTCATGGTGTGTGTTTTGTTTGGCTTCATCATTCTCACTGTGGTGTGGCAAACAGAAAGTCTCATCCATATAAAGTTGAATACTACAGCCAAAGATCGCCAAAAACAACATGATAATAGTCAGATAATCCATGAAAGTGTCCCACCAAGGTTTAAAGACCCGGTAAGCTGGTTGCTTGTCTTCCAAAATTGAAACATCACTGAACGAAAACATACCTGAAATAAATGCAAAAATTTCAAGCAATATTTGAAACATACATTTTGTAAACGTTTAAGTGAAGGGTAGCATTGCGATGGTATTACAAGACTGTAGCAATAAAATTATTAATACAGGTGGGACTAGTTTAGTTTGGGATTATGGTCAGAATAGACTGGTTGGACTGAAGGGTCTGTTTCCGGGCTGTATGACTGTATGACTCTATGACTACAAAGTAGAGGCCCAGACATACTAATTAAAATCCCACCACCACTACATGGGGGAATTTAAATTAAATGTAATTAATTAATAAATCTGGAATTAAAGAGCCAGTCTTATAATGAGGATCATGGAATTACTGAGTGTTAACACTACCCCAAAGGCAAACTGAGAAACAAGGATTATAATACACCAGTAAAGTCACTGACCTGCTTTTATAAGTATTACGTCATAACTTAAATGAAGTTTCCTGAGTTACTGCGTTATACTGTCTCTTGTTGCCTGAATGATTAAAGTCTGAGATCAAACAAATGAAAGTTAGGATTTGAGTTTAAATTGTAACCTAAAACTTAAAAAGTGTCCATCCCTGGTTCAATGAGAACTGTGGGAGAGAATATCAGGACCAATATTAAGCACAGCTAAAGATTAGATGCCAACCTGTGGAAGCTACAACGTGGGACTAAGCATGCTAAACTGGAAATTCCCCAGGTGTGTCCTGTCTACTAAAAGCAGAACAAATCTAATTCAATCAATTACTGCTCTATCAATCTACTGTCAATCATCAAAGAAGTGATTGTAGGGTTCATAAACCATACTATCAAGTGGCACCTATTTTGCAATAACCTACTCATCAATGTTCTGTTTACATACAACCAGATGTCTTTAGTTGACAAGCTTTATTCCAAAACAAAATAACTGAATTCTAAAGGTGAGTTGAGAATGATTGCTCTTGTCATCAAGGCAACATTTGAATGAATGTGACACCTAGAAAGACAGCTAGAAAATTGACAGCAATGGACATCAGGGAAATCTCTACTAGTTGGATTTATGTCTAATGTGAAAGAAAATGGTTCTAATCATCGAACACTAATCATCTCAATCCCAGGACATCTCTGCAGAAGTTCTTCAGGTAGGCCCAACCATCTTCAGCTGTTTCATCAATAATGTTCTCTCTGACCTAAGGTCAGGAATGCTGGTCTTTGTTGATAGTTGTGCAATGCTTTGAACGATTCAGAAATCTACAGATTTTGAAGCAGTCCATTAAAGCAGTCTAGCTTTAGTTGACAAGTGACAAGTAAAACATTCACCACACAAACGCCAGGTAATGACTATCTCCAGAAAAGATAATCTAACCATCTCCTCTTGACATTCGCTGGCATTAACATTGATGAATCCTCTACTATCAACGTTCCCATCTCCTGTGATTCTGCACATAGATGACCCCATTGATCTTTAAGGGGTCCTATTCTTACCCTAGTTACTCTTTTGTCCTTAAAGTACTTGTAGAATCTCTTTGGATTCTCCTTTAACAATCTGCCAAAGCTATCTCATGACCCCTTTTTTGCCCTCCTGATTTCACCTACTGCCCTTATAGTCCTCAGGTGTCTATATCTGACATATGCCTCCTTCCTTTTCTTGACCAGAGCCTCAATTTCTCTAGTCATCCAGCATTCCTACACCTACCAGTCTTGCCTCTTACATGAACAGGAACATACTGTCTCTGAACTCACATTTTTAAAGACCTCCCACTTTCCAAACATCCCTCTATCTGTGAACAGTCTCCCCCAATCAACTTTTGAAAGTTCCTGTCTAATTCCATCAACACTGGCCCTACTCCAATTTAGAACTGCAACTTTTAAATCAGATCTATCCTTTTCCATAACTATTTTAAAACAAATAGAATTATGATCACTTGGCCCAAAGTGCTCCCCCACTGACATTTCAATCACTTGCCCTGCCTTATTTCCCAAGAGAAGGTTAAGTTTTGCTCCTTCTCTAGTTGGTTCATCCACATGCTGAATACACAGAGAGTTTATGCAATGCTGGAAGAAACTATTGTGGCAGATATTTTTACTTACTCAAGACAGGCGTTTGAACTGGTCTAAATGTAAATACTGAAGCTAGAGTTTTCAATAAACATCAGAATTTAATCTTATGGTTTAAAAAATATATCTATGTTAACTTAAAATTGCAAAGTGAGTAAGACATGTTCAGACCATTTTGAAACTTGACTGATATCTACCTCAGAAAGATGGATGATGTTCTAACAAATAGACTTAGAATGTTTCTATTGATGATGTTGAATTTTGAACTTTTGATTGTTTTCAATATTCCAATTCTTTTAAATCCGTATTGCTGGCCTAGCTAACAATGCCCTCATCACATGAATGAATAAAAAAAATCAGACTTTGACATCTATTACTGATAGTTATTGATTGTCATCTGTCCTTTGAATATAGGACTGGCCTGAATTTCACATTGCAGATACCCTGGTGTCATTAACCAATTGACATATTTTGTTATTTGTTAAATGTATAAAATGGTTAAAAAAAAAGTGGGATGATTGGTAAGAGAGACAAACATGCATTTATTGTTGGATCTGACCTGAAGCAAGAAATATTTAAGGGCACTCGTGTATTTATGAGTACCTATGATCAGATATTTTTGCATATTTGGACTACGTCATTGTGGAGAACATTAGATTAATAGTAAATCATGATCTAAAATGGACAGGCCTGGTGAACGTGCTAATATTGTTGTACACCCAGAAAACCAGGAAGCAATGCCAGAGGAGCTCTGCTGTTAGATTAACAAAATACCACAGGCTTTAAAACAGTTTATTTGAAATATTATTTTATGCAGCTAAAAAGCAAGTGTGTTACATAATTCAAGGCACGAAGATTTTGCTTTTTTTTAAAATACCATAGTAGATACATATCCCATTGGGATACTACTAAACAATACAGCATACTGCAGATAATTAAAGCACAGATCAAAAGTAATAGCATTGTACAAAGTACAACTCACACATTATCCTGCCTTAGAATTATATCACCATTCCTTCAAGTCACTAGATCAAAATCCTGAATACCCTTCTTGTGGATGTCCCTACAGCCAGAGACTGCACTGTTTCAGGGGGGCAATTGATCATCATCTTCTCAAGGGCAGCTAGGGATGGACAATAAATGTTGGCCTTTCCAGTAACACATATATCCTACGAACAGAGAAATTACAATCAATCATACATTTGAACTAGGAACAAGAGTAGGCCATTCAGCCCTATGATCCTGCCTGACTTTCAATAAGATGATGGCTGACCTTTCAGTAGCCTCAAATCTCATGTATTCTTGATAACTTTTCACCTCTTGCTTAACTAGAATCTAACTACTCCTTAAAAATATTTAAGGACTCTGCTTCCAACATTTTTTAAGGGAAGTTCCAAAAATTCATAACACACTGAAATAAAAGATTTTGCCTTATCTCTGTTTTAAATGGGCAACATCTGATTTTTAAACAGTGACCCCGAATTCTGAACTATCCTTTAAAAGGATAAAAAAAAACCTCTGCACATCTATCCTGTCAAGACCCTTCAGGATTTTCAATCAGGTTTCTCTTACTTTTAACTTACTAAGTTACAACTAACTTTTCCTTACAAGACAATATCCATTCCAGGTACTAGTCCAGTAAACCTTCACTAAACTTCATCCCTGATTGGTGCTGGGTTCATTGCTTTTTGTCATTTATATAAATAATCTGGATGTGAATATAGGAAGAATGGTTAGTAAGTTTGCAGATGACACCAAAATTTTGTAGTGGACATCAAAGAAGTTTACCTCAGAGTATAATGGAACCTTGATCAGATGGGTCAATGGGCTGAGGAGTCGCAAATGGAGTTTAATTTTGATAGATGTGAGGTATGGCATTTTGGAAAGGCAAATCAGGGCAGGACTTATACACTTAATGGTAAGGTCCTGGGCAGTGTTGCTGAACAAAGAGACCTTGGAGTGCAGGTTCATAGTTCCTTGAAAGTGGACTCCCAGGTAGACACGACATGAAGAAGGTGTTTGGTATGCTTGCCTTTATTGGTCAGTGCATTGAGTATAGGAATTGGGAGGTCATGTTGCAGCTGTACAGGACATTGGTTAGGCCACTTTTGGAATACTGTGTGCAGTTCTGATCTCCCTGTTATAGGAAAGCTGTTGCGAAACTTGAAAGGGTTCAGAAAAGATTTACAAGGATGTTGCCAGGGTTGGAGGGTTTGATCTATAGGGAGAGGTTGAATAGACTGGGCTATTTTGCCTGGAGCATCAGAGGCTGAAGGGTGACCTTATATAGGTTTATAAAATTATGAGGGGCATGGTTAGTGTGAATAGCCAAGGTCTTTTCCCAGGGTGGGGGAGTCCAAAACTAGAGGAATAGTTTTAAGGTGAGAAGGGAAAGATTTAAAAGGGAGCTAAGGGGCAACTTTTTCATTCAGAGAGTAGTACATGTATGAAATGAGCTGCCAGAGGAAGTGGTCGAGGCTGGTACAATTACAACATTTAATAGGAAGGGTTTAGAGGGATATGGGTCAAATGCTGGCAAATGGGACTAGATTAATTTAAGATATCTGGTCAGCATGGACGAGTTAGACTGAAGGGTCTGTTTCCATGCTGTACAGCTCAATGACTCTATGACAATGAATTTGCATCCTTCCTTGAATAAGGTGACCAATACTGTGCCGAGTACACCAGCCACAGTCTCACCAGCCAATACAGTGTGGAGCTGGAGGAACACAGCAGGTCAGGCAGCATCACAGGAGCAGGAAAGTCGACGTTTCGGGTCAGGACGCTTCATCATGTTTCTTTCTTATTCTCCCTGCTAAAATGGACAATTTCATATTTTCTCACATTGTATTCTATTTGTACATCATTCCCCAGAAAAAAGGCACAGATTACCAAATACATACTACAAAACAAAATATTGCTGATTCTGGAAATATGAGATAAACACAGAAGATGTTGGAAACACACAACAGGTCAGGTAGCCTCTGTGGAGACAGAAATAAAGTTTGTGTTTTAGATGTCTTGTCCTTTCATCAGAACTGGAAAATTATGTGGGTTTTATGTAAGTGAAGGAGGGAGAGAGGGAATATGACAAAACGGAAGATCTGTGATAGGACAGAGGGCAATAGAGATTAAATGGCAAAAAGTGCAGGGCAGTAGAGATTTAATGGCAAAAAGTGCAGGGCCAAAGGGAGGGTTAGTGAGACATAGAAAGAAATGAAGGAAGGCAGGATTTTCAAAGGGCCAGTGGGCAACTGGATTAGAGGAAAGCAGGCCTGCAGTTTCAAATTAGCATGTTGATTTGTGCACATCATCCCATTCAGAAGCCATTTTTTCACAAAGGCTGGTTAGGGAGTGGAATGACTACCAGCCTGCAGGTTAGATAAAGTTGCCATAGTCCCAGAGGCTGAGCTACTGACTCCTAACACTGCCATTGTCTTACCAGAGCACAGGGCTGCGGACTCATTAGAGACAGAATTGACTGATGGTGGTTTAAGTTGGGGGTCATCACACCTCAGGTAAGGGGAGATGTTGGGAAGAAGAGTCCTTCCTGGTAACCTCGGCCATGCAGGAATTGAACCCCGGCCATCAGCATCACTCTGCATTGCAAATCAGCCATCCAGAACAACTGAGCTAACCCCTGCCTGCAAGTTACAGCTTACTAACTAAGGTGATTAATGTGTCTATTAAGGTTTCTCCAGAAGAGTCACACCGGAGTCAAACATAAACTCATTCTCCGTCTCAAAATATGCTGCCAGACCTGCTGAGTTTCTCCAGCACTTTTTTTGTTAATTTTTACATGTTTTGAAAGCAGTGTAAAAGTCTTTTAAAGCCTTTTAAATAGAGTTTATTGCTGACTGGAGTTGTACTCCACACCATGTGAAACTCATCTGGTGTTAGAAACCTTCTGCTGGGGTCTCCTTTTACCCACCTTAGGAGTGAGGTTAGTATCTGATTTCTGAATTATCCAGCAAGTGTAATATCACTGTGAAGCAGATTGCACTCTACATTGAAGCTAGACACCTTAATGCTACTTCTGATAATTTGAAATGTGGATTACTGATTATAGTTCAAATACAAAATATACCTCACTACCAGAAAAAATGGACACTTCTTCTTTAAAATTTTATTTGAATCCTATTTGTGTTCAACTGTGACTAGCCTGTATAAACTAAAATGCTCCAGGATGCATCTTGTTCAGAATTTCACCAACAGTTAATTAATGAATCCCAGTGTTGGACATTGCATCGATTGGGTTATATCTTCTCTCATATTAGTTGTATAACATACAGAAATGGCAAATCTTTCTTTTATTTTATTAATAGTGACTTGACAGGATAGGCCACACTAAGTTACGTTCTAACACAAACTTGTGAAGTAATATTTAACCTTAGCTGAGTCTGCTTGTGTTCCGATACATTTCCAGAATATGTGACTGTTGCTACAGTTAAAATGGGTTTTGTTTTCTTTGGATTACCATGGGCAAAAGAATATTTGGTTAGTCACATTCTTTGTTTTATGCAAGGTGCTCCAATTCAGGATGTGACATCTTGTTTGGGATTATTAGCCTGATGTCACTTATGGGTTCAGGATTAGTACTAATGCCTATTTTGATTTGCATGGGAAGTGCCTCAAACAAGTATTCATCCATTATCAGACCACTCTGTTTCAGCTTGCTACACTGGGTTATCTCCACTGGGAGCTCGTCGAGGGAATTTCCTTTCAGTTCCAGTCTGATAAGTTGGGAACACTGCTGGATCTTCCCACTGAGGGACAAGAGCAGGTTATTATTCAGCTTCAGGGTCTTGAGCTTTTTGCACTGGAAGAGCTCATCTGGCAAGGTTTCCAATCGATTGGAGCTTAAGTCGAGGTATTTGAGGTTTTTGAGATACTTGATGGACGAAGGAATGGCAACCAGGCGATTATTACTCATATCTAAATGTTGCAGCTTCGGAATACTGAACATACTGTTGGGCAACGTCGCAATCTGATTGTTGGACGCGCTGAAGCGTTCGAGGCTACTTATGAAATTGAAGGAATCCGGAATGGCTTTGATTTTGTTGAAGCTGAGGTTGAGGGAGGACAACTTGCGCAGGCGTTGCAGGCTTTCGATCTCCTCGATCGTGGTGAACTCGTTGCCCTGGAGGTTCAGCTCCTGCAGGTTGGAGAGGCCGAAGATGCCGTGCGGGATGGTCTCCAGGTCGCAGTTCTGCAGGTCCAGGCGGGCCAGGTTGAACATGCTGCCCAAATTGTGCAGCATCTCCAGTTTGTTCTTGTTGTTGAGGATGCACAGCTCGATCAAGTGCGGCGCCACGTACAGCACGTTGAACGGCACCTTCATGAGGTTGCTGTTGATATGGAGGGTTTTCAGATAGCGGAGCTCCTTCATGAACTCCAGCTCCATCCTCTTGTCGCCGGCGTTGACATTGCCGATCAGGCAGAGGGCTCGGAGGCGGGTCAGTTTGCCGATCCACTCGGGCACCTCCTCGTGGTCGGAGAAGGTAACGGACAGCAGGTGGAGCTGGTTGCTCAGGAAGAACAGGGCGGCGGGTTTGATGGTGACGATGCAGTTGACAATGCGGAGCTCTTCCAGGTGAACGAGCTGGGTCACCTTGGTGCTGATGTTGATGTCGGTGCAGAGTTCCATCTTGAGGGCCTGGATCTCGGTGACATCGTAGACCGCCTCGGGGATGCCGGTGAGCATGAAGAGGTGCAGTTCCACCTTGCTGCCCCGGATGAGCTGTTGCCTGACCTTGTCCGCCGTCCAATCGCTGTTCAGGCTCAGCAGCTTGAGCTTCTTCTCACTGGCCTCAGACAGGAAGGTGGAGAAGTGTTTACAATACAGGGGGTCATACTGGTCAATGAGGTGCAACAGGAAAGCGAAGTCATTCTTCACGTTGGGAATGTCACTGAACTGACTCTCCCGCTTCTCGAAGGAGTACTGTTTGAGGGGTGTACGAATGATCCAGAATAGAGTGCGGACACACAGTAAGACATAGATGGCCACCAGGCACAAGTAGAGTAGCAACAGCCTCCGGAGTAGGAAGGCAATGCTGAATGTACAGATGAAGACTCCATATCCGGTGACCAGCTCGGTGCCAGGCCGGCAGATGATGTCAAATGATACCGCCTCCACAAAGATGGCGAAATAGCACAGGATGATCATACACTGCAGAGTTTTCAACAGCAGCTGGCCCACGTACAGCTTGTAGATGGTGTCCTCTTGTTCCACGTGCAGCCGGAATTTCTTCACCTTCTCGAACAGAGCCTTGGCCCTTTCCCAGTCCTTCTTGTCCAGCAGCTCGTTCTGCCTCTGGATGACTGGGATGTTGCGGCTTGTGCCACGGCTCGAGTCCCTGATGCCCGGCGACACTGGCTTGAAGCTCGCCGTCATGCTCCTGCGCTTCTCCTGTGTCTTGACATTGACATTGCTGCTGTGTTCGGTCACAGCCAGGGACAGCACGTCCGAGGTCCATGGGGACTCGAAACACTTCTCCAGGATGAAGATTAGATGCTCCATCTTGGAGCTGGTCTTTGGAAACCGAAACCAGAAGTTGCTGCAAATCATCAGGGCCACTGTGTGCACCAAAATGAAGTAGGAGAAGTATTTGGGAAACCAGGGTACTGCGTGAAAGTAGCATGCCCGGTTGACATAACGGTACTGCTGAATGTCCAGGTTGGTCTTGCCCTCGGTGACTGCATAGACAGCATCTCTATGTGAGAGCCGAGCGAAATCGCGAATGCCTGTAACATTATAGGCAGCAAAAGCTTGCTCTTCCATGGTTGAGTTGTCTTCGGGATATGACTGACTGCTGTTGTCTGAGGAAATATCCTGGATTGGCAGACAAACCGTTTTGTCCTTGTATATCTGTGTGGTGCCTCCAAACACAGCAATCATCAACATGATTATGGCCAGATAATCCATGAAAGTGTCCCACCAGGGCTTGAAGATTCGGAAAGATGGAGGGGCTTTGCTCACTGAAGAAAGTTCCTCGAAGGAAAACATCCCTAGACACACAGAAGAAGAGGCGCATTATTCTTAGGATTCATTCTTGAATTTGGATAGGGAGATTGTCGAACATGGAATGGAATGGACCAAATCTGTCACCAACCACAAGGAAATGGAGAAACGAGAACCAGGTTGCCCAGCTGTGGTGTTCCCTATTCTGAGTCCTAAAGTTAAGTAACACTGCAGAACTTCAGCACAAAAATAATCAAGACTGGTATGCAGTACCGAAGCAGTGCTGCACTGTTGGGGGTGCTATGTTTTAGATGTGGCATTAAACAAAGGTCCCGTCTACTAACTCAAGTAAATGCAAAAGATTCAAAGGCATTATTTCAAAGAAGAGCAAATGAATTCATCACTGTGTCCACACCCATTTTTATCCCTAACCTAACAGCACAAAAACAGATTATCTGGTTATTCTCACATTTTGTTTGTGGGAGCTTGTGGTATACAAATTGGCTGTTGCATTGCCTATATTACAAGTGACTTCAGTTCAAAAGTACTTCATTGGCTGTAAAACATTTTGAGATGTCCCATGGTTAATGAAAAGGGTTATACAAATGCAAGTCTTCTTTTCAATACCTAAAATATGATTCTTTTTACAAATTATAAACATTGCTTGGTTAGTATTTTTCTTCAAAAGCTAATACAGCTATCAGTAACAATTTATACTTATGTTTATGTAGTGGGTCTTAAAATAGAAAAAAATAACTAGGGTGGTCCACAGAAGGGTTACCGAACAAAATCTAACACTAAACCTGCTAGGTAAAGGTAAAGTCACCATTGTTTTAGCAGACCATAGCACGGCTCTCTCTCTCTCCCTCTCCCATTACAGAGAGGGAGTGAAAAAGCTATGCATAGATACTTCGATAGTTCAGAGTTATGTGATTTAAACAAGTTATTTGGATTCTGTCACTAAACAAGGTCGATGTGGTTGAGAGAAGTTAAAGAAATCAACTCTTTCTCCCAGCAGGAACGCTAGAAACATACCAACACAAATTTGTATCTTTTAAGAATAAAAAGAATCACTTTGTCTCATTTTCAACCAAAAACTCTAACCTGGATATCAGTAATCCATCCTATCTACTCCATAATCAATGGTTTTTTTGTGGTTTAACCAGAGGGTCACCACACATCAAGTGAGGGGCAAGGTTGACCTTCATGTGAACCTCAGTTGGTACTGGAATCGCACCCACCCTGTTGGGTGTCACTTTGCTTTACAAACCAGCTATTCAGCCACTGAGCTGACCAATCCCCTAACATGATAAGGAGCTACTAAGACAGATTATCAAAATCTTGGTAAAGAAATTGGTTTCAAGGAGCATCTTAGATGAGGCCAAAGATACAGAGAGGCATAGAGGTGAAGGGAAACAATTCCATAGCTTACAATCTCAGCAACTGAAGGCACAGACACCAATGGTGAATTGATGAAAATCTGAAAAGCATGACAGCCAGACTCAGAAGAGTGTAAAGATCTTGCAGGGATGCAAGTTACAGGACTAGGGAGGAACGCGAGGGCCATGGAGAAATCTGGCTCAAGAATGAGAATTTTAAAATGAAGGCAGCAATCATAGGTCAACTAACATGGGGATAATGGGAAACTGGGACTTAATGTGAATTATGATAGCGCAGCAGAATTTTAGATGAGCTGAAAATTATGTTGAGTGCAAAATGAAGGCCACCTAGGAGCTCATTGAATTAGACAAATCTACAGGTGTTAAAACAAAGACATAGATGAGGGTTTCAGCAGCAGATGAGCTGAGGTAGGGGCAGAGATGGGAACTATAGAAGTGGAAATATGTGGTTTTGGTCATGGGAAGAATATGGGCCCAGTTGCTCAGTTTAGGTTCAAAGAGGACACCAAATGTTTGATTCAATACCAGTGCCAAGGGATTGGATGGTGTCAGTGACTAATGCATAAGGGTTAGTTGCGGAGATCAAAGGTGATGACTGTTCTTAAAACATGAAAATACCACTGACTATGCAGTAGCTAAGACAGGACGTATTATTGACATTATCTTAGTGTTTTTGTTTGAAGATGAGACAAAGTAATTCTTCTTACTCTTAAAAGATACAAATTTGTATTGATATGCTTTTAGAGTTTCTACTGGGAGAAAGAGTTGATTTCTTTAACTTAATTGTTTGAGTTCAATGTTGATTCATCCACATGGATCTTGTTTAATGACACAATTTGAATAACTTGTTTAAATCACATAACTTTGAAATATTGAAGTATCTATGCATAGCTTTTTCACATTATGACACTGAAGTTCTGAAATGTAATTGTTTGTACAGTAAATCATATTTAATCATCCTACTTTTCCGTTAGTGTTTATAATTCAACAGCAGTATCACCTATTGCACTTTTCAAACCATAAAACTTCAGATTTTCCGTTCCTTATCTGATAGGAGTCACCATATTCTTAATCCATTTGACACAATTAATTTCAATGGAATCTCTAAATATGGATTCTTTGTAAATTTTGGATTGATAAAAGTATTTTAAAATCATATCTATTATCAACAATGATGATAAAGAAAAGGGAAACATTTGAGGTTGATAATCTCACCCCCTAATAAAACATCTGATAAGTATGATTTCATAAATCGATGAGTAAATACAGACTAAAGTGTGAAACAAGAAAAAATAAATATTTATCAGCACATTCATTGTAATTAGAAATATAATTACCTTCTTGTCTCTGTTTTTTTTTAAATTATCTGTTTTTGTCTGAATGTTGACTCATGGAAGTACAATTCTGTTGGTGTCTACAACTTTTTAGCACCTCATCCATGTGGTCTTTCTCAACAATGAAATGTTGGTAGACTATTTGACTGTGGCAGTATCACATCCTGTGTCTTCCTTTTGTCCAATCACCAAGTTTGACCAACCTTCACCCTGTTCAATACAAATAAACTGAATGCTTATTTTTGTGAATTTTTCAAAATTGTTTTAACATACTTCTGGTATCCTAAAATTTCCTGCTTCTGTAACTCAGTGTACTCCTCTTTCCTAACCAAATATTTGTAAAGTGTTCTTCTATGTGAAGGGCATTATAATAAGTTGCTCTTAATTACACTGTTGAGCTGAAAAAGGTCTGCAGCTATCTAAGGAATTCTGCCTGCTATCAAAGAACTTTACATACACTCTAAAACCTATTGTGTTTAGAATGCCTTTTATGACATTGACATAAGAAAATTAGAATCAGGAAGAGAAGTAGGTCATTTGGTCCATTGAACTTGCTCTAACATTCAACAAGATCATGGCTAATCTGAACTTGGTCTCATCTCTACTTACCTGGCCATCTCCCATAACCTTTGAGTCTTTTGTAGTTCAGAAATATGTTTATCTTAGCCTGAGTTGAATTAACCAGAGTTGTGAATGTTTATGTTCTTGGGTATTTTTCTGTTTTTTTGCTGAAGGTACAAGTCTGTCTTAAGTTATTGTCTTCCTATTTACTTGTTACTTGCTGGGACTAACACAATGTATGATCAACAGCACAGGTGGGAGGGAGCCCTGCTTTTTCCTCCCTGCTTTTTCCTTCATGGTCCAACCTTATTGATCTGAAACAGTCCTTAGAAGGTTTACTTTTTCCTAATTCTTTCCCATGGGAAGTGCCTCATTGCGCATAGGTCTTTTTCTCAACAGTGTGGCTGACCATTGGAAACTTGGTGGTGACCTCCATTACCACTAAGGATTACTATTCTATTTTCAATAGTCTTACAACTTCGCATTTGCAGAAACAAATAACAAATTATAATAGCAACTTGTCTCGCTTTTTCATTTCAAAAGGATACCCTAGCTCACTGGAGATAAAATTACATGCATGATATTCATTTAACACAATTCCCTTTGATCTTTCACCTGCTTTTCATGAAAGGGAAAGTGCAGCATTACAGGGCAAAAGGCAGGAAATGGAATCATTCAGAGAGCCAGTGCAGACACAATAGATCAAATGCCCTCCTGTGCTGCATTGTGGTCTTTCGTTCCCATATTAAACTTCTTTCTGGAGTATTAACACAGCATGATAATTGAGTCTGATAGGTATAGGTAATTTTTCTCTGCTTTTTTTTGAGGATGTTGGTGTAGGTTGGGGTGTAGTTCTGTCAATGCCAAATGCCATCCACTGTCTTATCCAAAAGTCCATTCTTCAAGCGTCAGCCTAGATGGTGTCACAGCAAGCTGTTGAACCATGAGGCGCACCAAAGTTCTCAATTCCAGCTTAAGCCGATGATCATACACATACAGTTTGTCAACAAGGGTCTCTAAGGAATGAAAAATGGTTGATTCTTACTCTCACTAGTCTAATAACTTTGAAGCTAGTCGTAGTATGCCACAGAGTTGTTTTGCCTGAGATCAGATAAATCAGCCCTCCTATGGCTTGGACCAGGGATCTCCAAGCTTTTGTAGACTAGGTGATGCATATGCCTCACAGTAGTTAGGCAGAAGAAGGTGGCTAAACCAACACTAATGAGCAGCACTGTTAAGCCAGACATTCACACCAAAAACCAATGGAGTATTCTGATCACTGTTTTATAATAGTACACTCATAAATCCAACAGCTCTGACTGACATAGATTTAAGGGACTGAAAACTAGGGATATTCAGAAAGATGCTGTCATTTGAGAGCTGGACAACAAAAGAAATATACCTCAATTGGCTTTTGTCATCTTTCACTTTTCCATGTTCTGCAATGTACCAAGCTTATGTGGTAATGGAAAGATACAGATTGTAAAACAGAATGGCCTATGTCCTGGATTCTCAGAATCACAGAATAATGATGGCACAGAAAGAGGCCATTCAGACCATTGCTCCTATATCTGATCTTCAAACGAGCATTGAACCTGCCTCTATCACATTTCCAGGGTAGGGTATTCCATACCTGATACTAATATGTGTCACTACATCTGTTCCCTATTTTAGGTTTCGTTTGGGATTTGGTTAATTACTGTCCAGAGGTGACATTAAAATTCTTATCATTGCCTTCTGATGCCTTTGG